AAACGATAATGTGCAAGAGAGGAAAAAATGTATTGAAATGGATAGTGATGTGTAGCACAATGTTGATAAAGAAATAATCGATATACAGTTAAGAGGTAAGAGAATGTTTGAGATCATTTTTCTTCCAACATGAACAACAAGAAAAGATGAAAATTTTCTTATTTCTTTTTCTCTCTCCCTCTTCATTCGTTTGTCTCTCATAATCATTTTATCTTTATTTTCTTCTACATTATATTCATTCGTTATTCCTGAATGGAACCGGTTAAAGGTAAAAACTTTTTGACTCGAAAAGCTCAAGATAAATATTACCAAAGAATATTAAGTAAAAATCTCGAGCTCAACTTGAGGTAAACTTTTATCTTCATTTTATTCTCATTTCTTTTTCGACTTTTTTCTCTTCACTTTAATCATTTCTTTTTTACTTCTCATTCACTTAATTTTTCAACTCATCTTCTGGATGAATGCCCACAACTTGACTTATCATTAACTTTTTTTTCTTCCTCTTCTTCAACCCTTTTCGCTATCATTTCCATCATTTCTCATTATCATTTGTGATTCTGTCTGGAAACTGTTTGCTTCTCAGCATTTCCACAAGAAACATTGTTTCAGACAAAAAGATGATAATCATGATTCATAACAACCAATAACAAATTTGCAAGTAAACACTTAACATGGCGAAACGAAGAGAAGAGGAAAAAAAGTGAAAAACTAAGCTGAAAAGATTAGCGATAATCTTTCAACAGATTTATTAATTCTGGTTACAATGTTATAAGGAAGCAATAAATTAAATAATAAATTGTTGCTCAAGTTAATAATTTATCAAGATTATCATGAATCCAGTAAATTACGAGTTTAAGGCAAACACGAATCTTGCAAATATTGAAATGTGCAAATTAAATTGTTAAAAAACTTCTCAGCCATGATTAGAATTTTAGATTTTTTACTTAAACTGTTGAATAGACGAAGGGAATTTTTGTTCTTTTTCTTTTCGAATCAATTCTCATTATGATATTTTTATGCTTTTTCTTGGTTTATCAACATTGCCTGTGATTAGCTTCATGAAAATTTGCTCAGTAAATTATGTTTTTCCATGTAAACATTTAAAGAAATTTGCTTCCCTTTTGTCAACTCATTTTACGCTAGATTAAACAATCACTCCGAGAATTAGACTGGGAGGCAAAAAATTCTCACTCCCAGTCTTTTGCTCGCTACTTGCACCTTCTGTTTTCAATATATTCATAGCAACTTGAATTGAACTCTTAATGTTGAAAATGTATTTCTAGCTGCAACTTTTATGGAAAGAAATGTTGAAAGAAAATTTATTTAATATTGATTGATAATATTTACGCCTAAAGGTGAAATTTGATATTGACTTGTGTTGGCTGATAGCTACCTGAGTTTTACTTGTTCATCGATAACTTTTTTTTCTTCCTTCTTCTCTGCCTTTTCTATCCTTTTCTTGCTCATTTGTTTCGTTCACATTTCTCATCAAAATCATGAGTATTCCAATAGCATAACAGAGTGAAAGAGAAATAAAGAAATTCCATGAAAACGAAAATTACAATTTCTTCCATTTTCAAGGTTCGGAGGGAGAAAAAAAATTTGTACCAATCATGTAACCTTAGGGAACAACAAAATTGTAGAAATAAATGTTTGATAAGAAGCAAAAGATATATTGAAATGTTGCTGAAAAGGCAAAGTTAAATGCTAATAAAGAGTTAAATGATATAAATAAAGTCAAAGAAGTATTTATAGCTAAAGTTGTAGCTTTTCGTTTACAGCTAAAACTTATTGTAATCGAGTTTGGAATTTTTCCTTCCTTAGAATTTCATACTTACGAAATTTTCAATTTTTTCTAACCAGTTTTATTAATCAATTTTACCTCAAGTTTCATCTTTTTTACCATATTTAATCCTTCGTCACTGGGAGTGAAAAGGCAATAATTGTCTAACTAAAGGGATTGAGTGAGTAGCTCTTAATAAAGAGGAAAATTGATGAGTGAGAAAAGAATGTAAATGTGAGAAAAGTGCATTACTCATGGAGAGCAGGGAAAATGTGAGAAATGAAAAGAAGAAAAATGAACCCAAAAGATGAGAAATGAGAGAAAATAATTTGATTTTTTCTTCTCATTTCGTTGATTATTTTTTTTTGTTTTCGTGGAGCTTTTTTTTCTTCTTCTCCTTTTACTCATCAGATAAAGGTTAACAGTTCAATCTTGATGAACATGAAAAGCATCATCAGTTATTGAAAAAAAATGAAGAGAAGATGAAGATAGAAAAAAATGATGAGAGGCAAGAAAAAGTGCAGATAAAGATATTATCGAAGCTATAGTAAGTTTAAGAACCATTGATAGTACTTGATGTCATGGATACTTTATGATATTACGATGAGATGTGAGAGAATAAATGATTATGATACTGATGAAGATGATTATGAAGATGGAAGAGAGAGAGAGAGAAAAAAGGAATAGAAAAAAAGAGAATTTGGTTGACAACTGTGTAATTTCGTTAAGAATCTCTCTTGGAATTTATCAATGTTCACCCAAAAGTGGGTAAAATTTTGCGACCATTTCCACACTTTTCTTGAGTCGAGTCCTTTTTTCGAGTCGACTTTTACTCTAATCTAGATGATTGGAGTAATGAAATTGGTTTCAACATTTAAAGGTAAATACGAACACTTGATACCGATAATATCATCATCATTATCATTATCAACATAATCATCATTGGTTTTTATTATCATTTTTATTGTTATTATTACATTTCTCTCGAGACTTGAAATGCTGTGGTTACTTGGAAAATTTTGTTTTCTCTTCATCTTCATCTTCTTCTACCCATCATCATTATCCTCATGATGGACTTTTCTTGAGCCAATTTTATTCGATTATTAGAAGGTTGTAAGTGTGTTACAAACTATTATGTTTGATAACTGAGAACTCAACTTGTTATCGTCACAACTAGTCATCATTATAATCATCTTTTCTCATCATCTTTCGCATTCGAAGGCAAATTTTGGAAAGTTGACTTTTCGCTGAATTTCAACTTTTCCCTTTTTATTGTATTATTGATCCTTGAACAATCAACGAATTGATCATTATTATCATTATGGTTTAGATGGGAAAATGATGAGGATGAGCTGGGAGGGAAAAGAGGTGAAGAGAAAATAAAAGGAATTTCAAGCCTTTTCGAGTTCTTCTTTTTTTCCACTAAAAAACTAATTTTTACGCTTTTATTTGATGAAAGGAAAACACTAAATGTGATGATAATGATGTTGATGGTGATTGAGAATGAATTGAGATTGCACTTTAAACTATTATTTTGGTTGTAAAGCATTTCATAAACAATACAATCAGTTGAATTGACGAGTTTATGATTGGTTCAACAACAGAATTTCAATTCAATTTTTACTTTTTCTCCCAAAACATAATTATTGCTATCAAAAAGGAGAGATTTATCTGTAATCTTGAAAAAACATTCATTGGAAAATTCGTCCACATTTCATGACTCTTCTTTCCATTGTACTTTTCATAGCGATAATCATTGAGGAAAACCAATTGATCTCAATCAATGTCAATGAAACGTATTAAAAAGGAAAGCTTGAACGAACGATTGAATGACAGAGAAAAAAAAGTGAAAATGTTTTTCAAGTGAAGACGAAAAAAGAGACAAATAATGATGATAATCATGATGAGCAGATGGATGATGGAAAATACTGAATAATGGGAAAAATAAACACTCAATTTACTCGAGCTAATGAATTCCAAATATTATATGATTCTTCTTTTTCTTAGAACAAAATTTTTTTTCTAATTTCTTCAAAATTTCAACTGTAATTTTCGACGATTAACGATTTTTGGTAAATCGGAAAAGTGTTGATGAGAGAAGAATAAAAATTTTCGATAAATGTTGATTCGGAAATACATGATTAATTGGTAAACAATTTGTTTCTCTGTTTGGTGAAGGATCATGTTTGTCAACTTGGTAATTGATTAACAAGCGCAAAATGTGTCAACAGAAATGGTTAATATTTGGTCCAATTTTTATTCTTTTGGTTTTTGCTCGATCAAACGTCGACATCAATTGTGATTGTTATAAACGGAAAAATATGTTCACTTTGATCTTACCTTGAAAATTGGATATCCAATTGCCATGATTACGATTTGGTTGATCCAATGATAAACACGTTGCAATCAAGGTTGATCGCAATACTAAATACACAATAAACTTTACATTATCCATTTCTGTTTTGATTGTTGAACAAACTTTTTATCTTCTGTTCAACTCGATGTTGGGCCAAATAAACTTTTGCTTTTCAATGTTAATCATTAGTTTCAACATTGACACAGTAATCACTTAATGGGCACTTTGCATCCATCTCACAATCATCGATATTTTGGTGATTCAAGTTGTCGATTTAAACAAAACACTAAAGAAAAAAAAAACTTTTTTTTCTCAGTTTTTCTCCAGTTTTGTATTCGCAGTGACAGAAATCATTGGTTCGTCAGCTGAGGTTCGCAACCGATTTGGAAACTTAAATAAACATTTAGATTAATGATGATATTTTTCCAAATGAGCTTCAATTGATTCGCTCACATTGAAACGTTGCTTTACTTTTTTCTCTATTCAACTCAAGTTGACTGCATTTCTCACCCTAGATTGGAATTATCAACTTTTCGTATTTTCTGGCTCTGCCCATAATCTTGAACTCGACTTGTTCATCTGACATCTGATGGGAATCGAAAACATTATTTTCTCAAATAAAAAGAGTCGATATTTTGGTCTTTATTTGTAACCATAGATGGAGTTTTCATCTGGTTATCTAAATGCTCTGACAAAAGTAACATTTACCGACAAAAATGTGACCTCTCAGTTGTTCATTTAGATTAAGAGTGAGTCGATATTACAATCAATGAGTTGAATTGGGTTTTATCAATACATTGAAAAATCGATATATTGATTGAGTTGATTTTCCAGACTATAGATGGCAGTAGCTTTACCTTCTGATTGGCTGATCTCGTGGGGCAAATAAACCCAAATACCCAAATGTAAAGAGTTTATCCACACATTTTACACCGTCTTTCTCAGTAGTCTCAGTCAGGTCATTTGGTTTAAACGCTTTGTTTCAATCATTTTGTACAGTCTAATTTTATTACATTGATTATTATCATCTCACTATTCAATTTTAACACTGTTATTTCATCTGTTAAGTTTCCAGACAATGTTTACCAGAGGAGGTGCTGCTAAAAGGATCTTTAAACCGACTATTCCTGCGACCAGACGTTCCACTAGAAGTGGTGATAAAGATGGTGATAAAAACAATAGCTGCAATACCTCTACACCACATGGTAAAGTTAAGAGTAAAGATAAAGATAGATCTAACAAATCTAAGGGGAAAAAAGATTTGATCCAATTGGATGCAGTTTTTAACGGGATAAACGCAACGTAAGTGACCTTAGATAATAAAAATTAGTTGAATCTTCTTTTTTTGGCTATTTTTTTAATGAAACAATAACTCATGCTTTTTTATTCTATATCTTGATCTTTTAGCGCACCCGTTGTCAAGGCTGAAAGAGGTTATGTTAATTCTGGAAGCAGCAATATAAATTCACTAAAAGATCGAGCAATTAAAGGCGAAGATGCTGATGTCAAGTCAATTAATGGTATTCGTATTAAATCAGAAGATGATTCTGTGACCATCGCAAATCACAGGAGTGTCGAAGACGCCAAGGATTTTAAAAAGCATGAAATTGATGATGTGGAAAGTATTCAAAGAGCTCTTTATAGAGACGATTTTATCTCTAATTTTAGTACCAATGATGATGAACTGGCACCTATTGGCTGGGAGCATGTTAGTCAGCTTCAGTTGTATAAACAAAAAGGTTGTGAAAAGGATGTCAAGTCAACAAGGCGTTTTGATGCATGGGCTTCCACAAAAAATAATCAAGATAAAATGGTTCTATTCCAATTACCAGAAATGGTATTAAAAGGTGGCGATGGTCGTCTTGGTAAAATACGAATGTATAAATCTGGTAAAATGGAACTAGTAGATACTCGATCTGGTATAGTTTACGATCTCCTCCATACAGACTGTGATGTTAACAACCAGCTTGCTACTAAAGATGATGATGACAATTCTAGTGAAGAAGAAAGTGATGCAGATGAAGTCATGAAAGAATTAAATGAAAAGCAAAAATCGTCTTCAACCGATTGGATCAAAAAGGAAGTGGAAGATGAAACTGCCAACAATCAAAATTTTCCTCCACCACTGCCATCTTCATCAAAATCTCAATCTATATATAGTAAAACTAATCATCAAAATTATACAGACAAATGTGATAAAAATGAAGATGAAGACGATGATGATGACGACGACGACGATGATAATGATGATGATGACGATAGAAAACTGAACCAATCTTATCGAGAAGCCGTGTCTTTCGATGGAAACCAAATTGTATGCCTTGGTCCAATTAGTAAAAATGATTTACTAATCGGACGCCCCAGACTAGAGATAAGGAATCTGCGAATCTAGTCTATTATCTAGTCTTATAATTACACGCAATAATGTATTGTAAGAAATATTGTTATATATATTTTATTACAAAATTGCTGATTGTTGCGCAGACTCATCATCAGAACTCTAAATACTCTTGAATTGGTTAACATCGAGATGAACATGAAAAAAAGTTATGAGTCTTCGTCTTAAGGTCTCATTCACAATGAACGTTGAAACAAGTTAACATTTAAATCTTGTGAATCGCAATCATGTTAACCTTTTCTTTGTTTGTTTTTTCATGAGGAATAAAAATATTTAAACTTATATTTTACACTGATTGTTATTTGTCATTTAATTGTTTCTATTCATCTAAATTACTGTAAAGACTGTTTATCGTTTTGTTATACCAAACCCAACTGGACACATGATTGAAATACAACATTTTGATAAACCTTTACTGATTTTTTTCTGGTCAACTTTTACATCATTTTCATTTGCTACTTGATTTATAATGCTTTTGTCCAATTTCGTCTTTTACTTGCTTAACAAGTTTACTTCTAGTTTTTTGCTTCTTTAACACCTTAATTGTAACAAGTGACAATGGCCATTACCTCATCGACTACAGCATTAATAATGTCAAGTCCAGTTAATTGGAGACATTTGTTTCTCTTCTCACTCATTTTTTGGTCCATTTCAAGTCAAATTGTTTCAATGTGGATATTGTTGATGTTGAATGGTTTTACATTAAGTTCAGGGTTTACTTTGACAACCAAGAAACCCATCAACTCGAATCATGATTCAAGGCATTTACCTCGAGGCTGGTTCGGAGCAATCCCTGATGATGATGCCAGTAATCACAATAATGATGATAATGATGAAGTTGCCCTTGTGGTTGAAAATGTCGACCCAAGTGAAGAGGCAAAGAAGGACGAAAAAGATCATTTCTTCCATGACAATCAAACTCCATCAAGTGTACCCAGTGATAAGTCAAACATCGATGGGCAATCAAGTGATGTCTCGGTTGACTTTAGCCATTCCTTTAGCCCAACAAATCCATCCATTGATTCACATTTTTCAACCTCTTTGCCAACATCTTCAACCAAGCAAACCTTTTCTTTTGAAAATAGTTCTGATGACTGGGTGACAACTGATTTAGTGTACAATAATTCTGATGAAAATGAGAATGAAGTTGACCAACAGAATAAAGTAAATGAAGAAGATGGGTTCATGATTCGCGGGTCAAGTGAAACTCAGGAAGAAGCAACTGCATTTGATAAACACTTTTGTGCCTGTAAAAATGAAACAACTCACAGTTGGGATCATGTTGAAATATCATGTAAATGTTTCGGTGAAACAATAGTGGACATACCTAATCACCTGACGAAAGGAGTCGCGAAATTGTAAGTTTCCTTTTCTTATAAACTTTTCAACTTTTCAGTTTTACTATCGACAAGGACAACGTTCGACTATCCGAAGCTCCAAAAATATCGGCCAAATAATTTCGCAAATTATCTCGAATTAGAATCTGATCAAAATTTTTACCAATTTCTTTTCTCCTATCAAAGAGCTTAATAACTTGCTGAACTATTCCTCAATAGTCAAAAATGATAAACTCGACAAAAAATCCCATTATTAAGTCCCTTTAGACAAGCATTGAAAAACAGAACATTAGTTTCATAGTTTATTCACTGAAGATTATTTCGACCTGATATCAATGTTTCTTCTCAACTATGAGATAGTCATGATGCAACTTGAACTTCATTCATCCTTTCAATGTTAATGATGTAAAATATGGCAATTAAGTGGCTAATAAATAAATCTTGATTTGGAAATTTCTATTCAAATGAACGTATCAGAGGGAATAAGCAATTTATGTTCTCGAAACCCTGATACAGTCAAATGGTCGTAATTGATAATTAAAGTGAATGTTGCCCTGAGCTTTAATTAGTATACCAATTTTGCGCTCTTTTACTTTTTCTTATTACAACAAATTATTGAATCTCAATCAATCTGTTTCGAACTATTAATCTAATTGAATCTGAAAGTTTGATGAAAAGAGTGCAGTTGATGTAAACACCTTGAGACTCAGGAACCCCATGAAGGTTTACCATAACTTTTCTCCATCTCATGTAATTTGTTTCATTCAAATTGGTTTGTAGTCTTGGGATGCCAGTCCAAGTTATTTACCTCATGTGAAACATGATGAAATGAAATAACATTGGAACCAAATGAAAACTTTACTCGAGATTACATCTAAAGATAGTTTTACCTGCATTTCAATTCATAAATTGATGGATTCAAGATGACCATTAGAATGCTATTGGATCCTCGGTTGACAGAAATTCGTTTTTTGTCTCGAGGTTAAATAAGGTTATTCTGGACATTTGATAAGCAAAAATTTCGAAATCGATTCAAAGGTTAATCTTGATCAAATGAACTCAGTGGTTGAATGGAAGAAAAGATTTGCATATTCATTCAATTTTGGTTCAACTGAAATTCAATCTCAATCAACTTTCATTGACATGAGTTCAATCTCTATTGATAATGCAAATGGAATAATCTTTATCAATTTTCGATTTGAAATGAACTTTTCTCTTCGGAATCAAAACTTGTAATGATGGTGAAGTAAACAATGAAGTTGCATGAAAAACTTGATCAAGGTTGTAAAGAGAAATGATGATTCCAAGAGAGTGAACAATTTGGTTGATTGTTGGTACAAGAAGAGCATCTTAACATTTACTTCAATAATCCAATAATAACTTATTCCTATTAGAATCAGAGGAAAAAGTCAAAAAGATAACTTTTCTTGGTTCATCAATTTTGTATTTACTTTTATCTGCAATTATTAAAATTGCCAGCATCATCACCATGATTATCCTCCTCCTCATCCAAATCAATGCAATTTTTGTCCTTTCCAAATTATAGTCACTTCAGCATTTGTTTTTCTTCTCTCAAAAGTTACGAAATGCGATAAGTTCAATATCAGAATATCAGGATTCAATGTTGAATCACTGAATTTAAACCAGAATTTCCTTGAAACTGGAACAGTAAAATGCAATTTCCAAAAACATTTACATTCAATATCATTAAAAGTTTATTTTTTCACTTTTTATTCAAAGTTTTTCCAAACATTTTATAAATTCATAATCAGAATGAGGGAAAAAAGGATTCCCAAGAATTCATTGGAAAGCAACAGTTTTCCAAAAAAAAGGAGTAGGTGTCATGAAGAATCGATGTTAGTCAAATTACATAACTTAATTTCATGAAAAGTGACATCAAAAAGTTCTTATCAAAAGTTTTATTCAGAACTCTTGGGTCGCATATGATAACCATTAGATCAATTACCGCATTAAAGCGTATCGCGACATTGAGCTCACAAAACTTGTCACACGGGTTTACGATTACAAAGAGAAGAAAGATAGAAGAGAAGAGGAACCTTGAAGACCAGCGAGAGACTCGATCCAGGGGCTTCTGGATCAAAGTCGATACACTTTTCCTCTGCGCCAAGCACCTTTAGTTTTATCAAGTTCGCATCGAAAATATAGTTGTTTTCATTGGAATTTGCATAAATATTCGGCCATAAAAGAATTTTGCAAGAATTTTGCAAGAATTTTGTTCAGTTGTAATGCTTCAAATCACACCTTAAGAACCGGCAATATGAACGAAGCTTCCATTTTTTACTCTGTCTTATATATGAATTTCAAAGGCGAAAAAGGGAACTTGACCGATGCTGCGACAATTAAGAATTCGGGATGAAAATTTCATTGCTAATTCAGGGTTAAATTTCTTGAAGATTCCCTTATAACGGAACCAATATGCTAAATTCAGTTTATCATTCATAGGGACTCTATGCGTCTATTGTCACAAAGTTGGGCCTTTAACATTCTTATTTTAAAGCGCAGTGCTACGCGTCAAACACCTAAGTAAATGAAAATATAATTAATTTTATGCGACTTCTGAATATTTCAATATTTTCAGCCTACTCGTTTGAAGCACAATTTTTGACCGAATTGGGCGAACTACGGAACTTTTCATGAGACTTTGCATGGTTTTTGATGTTACCTTTCATGAAATTAAGTTTATTCTCAATTTGACAAAATCGTGACACATAACCCTTTCTACTCCTTTTTAAATTTTAAATTTAAAAGCAATCACAGAATGAAAGTTGAAACTGAATTGAAATCAATCCAAGAGAAATGAATATCTGACAATCAATCTGGATAAAGTTAACGATATCAGAATTATAATAGAAATGAGGGAGGCAAGTGATGAGTTTCACCTACGAATGAAGTTTTACAGAATATACTTTTTAATCTTCAAGTTTGACAAAAAATGAAGAAAATCAATATTCAAATGAATAAGTTTATCAATGGAGGGGAAAAATTTTTCTGCTTTCTATCGAAATCGCAGTTTCGTTGAAAAACGAATAAAAATTGCAAACCAATGAATGCAGGTGCAGAAGTACTGATACATTATTAGCACAGCGTGGACTCGTTTATTTAACTCTTCAATTAACAGATTCAGCCATGTTGAATGGCTAGACATGATCATTAAAATCGAAAAATTCAAGGTGAATTCAGTTAAAATAATCTATTAATATAAAAACACGTGTGGTGAAATTACGCAGGGCAAGAGTCTCAATCAAAAATTGTCTTTATAAATTTTTAAATGGTAGCTTTGACGTCAATTTCAATTGATATTTACCAGTTAGAGTCACTAACTAACTCCTAAAATTCAAGAAATAAATTGAAAAAACTAATTATCAATTTGAAATAATTTGGTCTATCAAAGAATATCAAATCTTGAAAATACGAGGCCCGGCTAATAACTGCAAACTGTTAGTGTAAATAAGCCATTTCAAAATAACCTCATTACACTGTATCACAAAATGATGTGGTAGACCTTAAGATTAATTACAATTAAATAGAGCAACGTTGAGTTAACCTCCTTTTTAATATCTTTACGCATTGAATACAATATTAGCTGAAAATAGTCAATCTTAATATAATAAGACATCAAATGATATTAATTTTTAAATATGAATAAAATGAAAACGCCCAAATTTAAACCCAAACCACTAGGCCCACAGATGAAAGTCGCAGTCGTCCCACTGCTTCAACTCGTCAGAATTAGCTGCATTGTCGAATTATTCTGTTAAATTAACAGCACATTTTTGTTTGCGAGACTTAGGTCACCTTCATGTCACTGCCTAGCGAGTGACATCGTTCTCAGACAAATCTGGCTCAAGCGTTATATGTACTTACTTTGTTTACCAATTTTATTTAGATGTCTCCCACAATATTTTATGACTGACTGTATTTCTCAGTGCGTATTAATACTAAAAATGAGACAAAACTTAATTTTCTATACTGTACTACTTTATTCACATAATCTAGTTAAGGCTGTTTGAGAGGATTGCTCATTAAATTAATTATCATACAATAAAGCTTTTTACACAAATGAATTACAATAAGGCTTACTTTGATTTAAATACTGTTTACTCATCTCAATAGTGAATTGTGTTACAAGCCTGTGAATATCAGTTTCCGAAGAGTCACCAAAGAGACACTTAAGCTTACCTCATTTTACCTGTTATGTTTGTAGGTCGATGGTTGAGTTTTCGATAAAAACACATAAGTATTATAATTTACAAAATTCACAGTTTCATATCAAATACTGTTTACTGGTTAGAAAGGAAAAGGAAGAGGAGAAGTGAAAATGCGAGGGAAAATGTTAAGGGAACAACTGTTAATTACAAACTGTGAATAAAAGACAAACTTGGAGTAATCATGTTACACTAATGTTATGGACTAATTATTGAAATTAAATTGCGACAATTAGATTCCCAGACATCATTTAACCATTAATTTAATTTACAATTAAATCACATTCACGCTTATTTGATAGCAAATTATTCAAATCACTCAATGAAAATCTTAATCAAGATTCTCTTCTGGAATGACATTTTCAGCCAAAAAGACGATTCTTTTTATTCGCTTCAAGTTGAGTCTCGTCTGTCGACTAAACAAAATGTAAATTCCATGACATTTACAAGGAAATTATTCTTTGAAGAGTTCATTTCGATAATTCACATTTTTTTCTGGTTAAACTGAACAATATCATGGTTTATTAAATAAATATGTAAAAACGAGGACAAAAAAGAGGTTGAAGACAATTTAAATAATCCAATAATGCAAATGAAATTGTTCAAGTTTGGCGGTTTTCCCACTCAATGTGATTTGAGAAGTCATTAAAAATGATAACATTTAATCAACTCGATTCACTTGTCGAGTAATTCAATTAGTAACTCAACGTTGATACAAAATTGGAGAATCTAAATTTTGTTTAAATTGCTTCATTAAAAGCTTTGTTCATCTTCTTCTTGTTCAACATTAATTTA